CGCGTTTTAATACTATTCAAGAAGATGATACACTCACGCTATTGTCTGAAGGATAGGTAACGATCCGTCTTGACAACCATATGATACTATTCTGAATATATGCTTGATTTGCCTTCCTGAAAGACCAGTGGATTTGTGACTATGGAACCACTCAAAAGAGACGTCAGTGGATTTTGTTTACCCTTTTTAACGTCATTTTGGAGGAGGCCACCATGATGATTACCCAAGTCTCCATTCATATCAATTTTAGCAGCCGAAATTCAAATGAAAAGAAGATTAACCCAAACCTTTAACGAGAACTGAACCTGCCAGCGTATGTTCATATACTTTTTAAAAAGTATGGTGATTAGTTTGTAGTTTAAGGGGCGTATCCTCGGAATGCCAACTCTTAAAAAAGCATCTTGACAGTACGTGTGAGCCTATGTTCTTGTTCCACCAAGTATGTCGACTAAGCTGACTGTTACTGAAATAAAAACCACTGCAGTTTTACTTCAGTCCAAAAAGTGACCGGGCCAATGGTTTCTTTTCCTGTAGACCCGGGGAAGATCCGCGTTAGTGTGCAGCCTTTGACTCGGGAAATGACATATAAGAAGCCCTATCAAGCCGTTTGCCTTTTAAAACCGCCAACTCGCAATCCAGTACAGTACACTTGGTACTTCAAAGACCGAGTATTCGCTCACGGTGACCGCCTGATGGTACCTGAACTGGACGAGGACTCTGTTGGGAAGTACATCTGCCGAGCTAGAGTCCCAATGCCGTCAGGAAACTGGCAGGAATCGCATGGAGCCATAAATTTGCAGTATCAGTCAGCCCCTTCTGGAAAATATGCGGGTAGCTGCACCTGTGTAGTTTTTTGTCCATAATCACGTTGCGAATTTTGTTTTAAAAGTCACAGAATGCGGATTTTCAGCAGATCCTAAACATTTATTCGAACCAGTTTTATCGCCATTTGCATTTATATGCCATACCAAAGACGATGACTAGATTATATTACCACAGAGAAGCATACAGAGAAGCAGGACTGGTTAGCAACACCTATAAGATGTGTTCTTCATAAGTATCTAGTTGAAACGTTTTTTTCCTCAAATTAGGCACGCAAATGTGTACATATACGTGCCCTAGGGACCCTGTGGGGACAGTAACTTTGTCATATCGATGTCCCGTTCACAATGGACTAATTTTGTAGTTATTGTAAAAGAGTGGTCAAACTTAGTGAACAAGGAAGACAGTATGGTTTTCAAATAATTTTGAATCTTTCCACTTTGTACCTGCCTTCTGCTAAAATCCAGGCAGAAAATGGAAAAAATTAACTATTATGTCATAGGCAAGCTAAAATGCAAGAGAATATTTTGAACAGAATTTCTGAGCACTGAGTATCGGTTTGAATATTATTACTGGATAGAAGGTTGTGACCTTGTAAGAGATCTTATGACTTCCAAATAACTGTCTTGACTGTAAGCTACATCCGCCCGTCGACTCCACCTACTTATTTTCTGACGCAAAGAAGGTTCAATTTCAATTTATCCACAGTGAATTCCGCCTGATGTAGCTCATCTGATGAGAATGTTCATCCTGCCGCTCCACGTCTTTCATTCTGGAACAAGGAACCAATTTTGGCCGTCTAACTCTACTAAACGGAGGAGATTGTAGTTCGAAGACATATGGCTACCTTCTAGTTAATAACACATCGGTAGTTGCGTTCAGACTTGCGAGACCCTGTCCAACGTCAGTTGGCCGGATAACCAGGACGAAGTTCGAGTGATAAGGCGAAATGTCAGGCCAATAAATTTTTTGTCTCGGTGATTGCATCTATGTCTTCTGAACTGCTTCCTGGAACTCGCCTGTTCGGTTCTATCGGAAGTCAGTAGTCTGGGGTTTATGCTAGAGAAAACACAATAAATGGCCAAATCTCTAAATCGATTAGATTTCAATGACCTTAACCATTTAAACTAGCTGGGCTGTCCTTCAGCCCAAGTGGCTGTGGACGAGCACCCAGGCTATTAATTCCTCTTCTACACTCATTCCAACATGAATACTTGTACTTGATACGGCTGCGATCATGCCTGATCTAGCCGGCCTCGATGACGTCCCGAACCGTACCTCTCCACGCGGGACGATCCGCGGCAGCAGATATGGACAGCTCAACCCATTCCCTTCGCCAACCTCACTCATTCAAACCTCATAAACAAGTTCATAATAAGTGAGGTATTTTGCCGGAATCACACTTCGCTTAAGACGCTACAAGCGCAGAATGCCTGGGTGATGCTGATGGATTTCAGCCCAGATATTCATATCGAAGTTTAGTCTTAGTTTATAAGCCTCAAACAAACCGATTAAATCTAGGTAAGTGATTAGTTTTTGATGAAATTAGAAACCGGCAACTTCAAAAGTGGGGTATATATCAAAATCCACACAGGGAACGCAGGAGGACCTACTGATGAGGCGAGTCCCTCGTAGGTGTGTCATGCAGCGGCGGCCTGTCGGCGAAACACGTGTCTGAGCTTTTGTCTAGTACTTGTGCTGTCAAGCATGGCACATCGTGCCACCTATATTCTTTAGTCTGGCCATTTATGTGCGATTTGGTCCAAAGTCGATTAAAACTACCCCTAGATCTATCGTAAGATGGTCATATTCTAACTGGCCAACTGATCTTCGTCGAAGTTCGAAGAAGGCAGGGCAAAACTGTTAACACTGTCTCTTAGATCAACTGACATTCATTTGTGAAAAGGTGGCCGTCGTGGCTAACAACAGATCCATCGGTGAGCTGTGTTTTCGATGCATTTTTGCGACAATGCCAAAAGTGTAAGATTATGGAGATTGGACTTATTTGCTTTGCTTTAAAATCGCTAATAAATACGAAAAAATGGAAGTCTTCTGCCTACACGTTTCACTCAGTGAGAACCACTGGGAACCGAATTAGGTAAACGTTCTCACCGTGTCTACAAGAGTGTTCGCTTAGAACGTTATGGAAGGGAGAAATCGGACGTTGACTGGGTGGATTGTGATTTTACAGCAGTCAGGATCTAAGCCACTGCATGCAGGCTACTCAGTGGATACAGAGAAGGCATCTTATAAAATGCCAGTTTGTAAGCGTCTGTAGGCTTCAGCTTTCGATATTCAGGTTATCCCTTGACTTAGTTGCCGGACTTAGTTAGCATAAGCTCCTCGGTCTCGGTAAAGTATTGGACATAAGCCGTTCCCTGCTCATGCAATCTTACAGGCGGGACATGGAAATTTAGACCAGTTTTCCGTCCCGAGGCCGTGCAAGCAGTCTGCCTTTTTTCCTGTGTGGTTGTCTCCTCTGTGCATTACTTGTAAGCATATGACCTCGGACAACGGTCGCCATTTCATGATAACGTCCTGCTCTTGTGACCTTTTCTAGATGCTCAGTTTACCAGATCGATGCCCGGGTACAGCGCCACAATCGCACCTTTACAAGGTCCGCAACTGCTTGTTCATCGGGCGTCCCTCCGCTTAGTTCGCAGCGGTCCCTGCTGCCAGACAGACGTTCCAAAACCAGACACTGGCAACCACACAGGGTAGCCTGAAACTAGGCCGACTGGCAAAGTCCCGTAGACCCGAGGCTCCTGTCTTCCCGGTACTATTTCTATGCGATGCCCATGGTTAAGGGCGGTAGATGTTGATCAAACATTTCTATGCTTCTTGAATACATTCCGCGCGTGAAATTGTACGACGCATTAGACTTGTGGATAACGCTTCGGTCTGTAATTTCGGAATTTTTTATAAAGAAATAACGACCTATAATAAAATAGTGCATTAAACGTTTTTTCCCTACAGTTTACTTGAGTCGGTAGCAATCATGCTGACAGCGCGAAAGATTCGAACACCTAAACCTTATCCTTGTTAGAAAAAAGCAAGTCCATCCCTGGGTCCCGCACCAGTGGAAGTACGCAACATGTGACAATTAATGTCTTGGGCAGCTTTTCAGATAATATATGAAGGTGTCCACTTAAGGAGCAAACCATAAAGATGTGGTAGACAACATTATTTACACCGTCGAGCGTTTTATGAAAACCATGCCAGTAATTGTTCTTACCATCCTCACCATCCTTATTTAATTTATTTTCATTGGAAAAGACCACACCGTGACGCAAAATATATTCAGATTGCGCGCTCTTCAGTCAAACGCATTCGTAGTTCCTCGTAGTAGTTCGTCAACGCCAGTATTTGTCGGAGCTTCCAATGTGAGAATAGCCACGAGCTCCTTATTATCCTGTGAATTGTAACCTTTGAAAACATCAACATCAAATGCTGTATGTGTTTCCATGCACTATCACCTCTCGCAGATGGGGATAAGGGGGTGTGTAGTAGGGGATCAAACCGTATAGGTGTGGTAGGTTGCATCATTTGCCTCGTGCAGGTGGCGGCTGCTCCGTGCGGCCCTTAACTGTCAGCTGTAGCTTCCAGAATTTAGGCTCGGCCTAGCGGCCGGCGTGCCTAACCTAATGAGGGTACACGATGTTGTGTGTCCCCACGCCCGGTAACTCTGCTCCCTTCCTCTCCTCCTGCTTTCTACTTCAAAGGTCCTACAGAGAGGGTGATATGCAATTCCGTAGACGGCCCAGGCTAACTCGGGCCGCTCACACTCCAATTTGAGTCGTGACCAATAGTTGAGTTTGGCGGCCATCTGTGATGTTTACGCAGCCCTAGTTAGCGATAGCACTGCCTCTTCTCTCAGAAAACAAACAGCTAACAGAGATGCTCCAAACAAAAGCTGGAAAACCACGTCATCTGCACAGCACTATTTACTCGCTCGCAGAGAAAGGAGCTAGAAAAGGCTCTCTAAACAAATGCCCGGACCACATTATCTACTCGCTGACCAGGATCCGCAGACGTATAAATAATGGCCAAAACAATAAAACTGACAACAAATCTCGTCTCCATCCCCCCGTCCCACCCCATTAGCTGTTAGAGTGACTCCGCTCAGTATGGTAGCCTGGAATGCCCGCTCTCTTCTAGAAAATCCACGCAGAAGTTAGATGAAACGGAAGACGGGAACAGTCATTAGAGAAGTGGCGGACCACGACGTGGACATCGCTGCCCCCAGCCAGACCCACTTCTCCGAACAAATCCAATTGAAACACGTGAGTGCCAGCCACACCCTCCTCTGCAGTGGACACCCAAAGGCAGAGCGACGTAACATAGGTGTCGTTTTTGTCATCTGGAACGTCATCGTGGGACGACTGCTCTGTCTGCCGCAGTGCATCAACGACTGCCCCTTTGGGGAGTTAAAGTCGCCAACGTCATCAATGCCTGCGTACCCCCAAAGATTAGCTCTGACGGGGTAAGGAATAAATTTTTCAGCAACCTACCCTCCCCTCTGGAGACTGTGTTGAAGTCGAATGAGTCACTTGTTGTTGGTGACTTAAATATCCGCGTCGAGACAGACCACGATGCCTAAAAGGAAGTTCTGGTTTGCCATGGTCTCGGCGACTAAAGCAAGAATGCGTCTCCCCCTCCACAAAACTTTGCAGAACAGCAGCTCCTCCGGACCAACACTTTGCGCCTTCGGGCTCAAGGAGAGTCTACCTGGATGCACTTCCGATCTCGACTCTGGCAGCTGCTAGATTAAGACCAAGGCAATCTGCTACGCCGACGGATCGTTGGATCACTACCTCGTCCTCTTCAAGATGAGGCTCCGACTGTAACCTCACGGGAGACCACCAGACAAGTTAAACACTAATCTGTTGAGTTTGTCTGATCACCGCTTCGACTGGGCCAATCAAGTCGCCAACAAAATAGAAGACATGCAGGCTCCAAATGGCACCGTCGCCATGAAGTATAGTTGTACCGACTTCGGAACATCATTCACGTCCTCGCCTTCAACGTTCTCGTTCGTGCACGGCGTCAACACCAGGACCAGTCTGACGACGACTAGGAAATCAGCTGTTTGCTCGCCGAGAAAAAAGGGCTGTTCAATTTCTATGGAAAATTTTGAACTTAAGCTAACAGGGCGGTCTCCTTCGGATGTGGTCGTCTTGGGCAGCATTCGGCTGTGAGAGATGCGAAATTCGTGAATGGGTCGTAAGGCCAAAGAAATTCAAGGGTACGTAAATATCAAAGAAACAAAGAATATCTTCCCGTCAATCACGGAATACTACCCTCAATCCCCCCACCACCATCCCTACCAAGGCAACCATATTGCTGCTCAGATTCGACGGAATAGCGCTCCTCATAAACAAATCTCAGATTCTAAAGAGCTGGGCTGAGTATTACAAAGCCGTCCTCCACCGTCCACCCACGAACTCCGGCGCCGCCATTGACCGGTTCCCTCAAGCAGAAACGAACAACGACCTGGACCTCCAGCCTTCTACCGCAGAAACTGTCAGAGCTGTACCCGAACTATCCTGTGGTAAAGGTGAGGGATCTGTAGCGATCTCTGCCGAACTCTACGAGCATGATGACCCCCAACGTAAAACGGAATACCAGGGGATGTGGCACGGGGGACAGATTAATATAGGCATCAAAGACACCAACGTCGGCTCTCTCCACAATCAGAAGGGGAGTCAGCAAGTCTGTAATAATCACGGAGGAACGTGGCTGCTGACCTATACTGACATCGTTGGTAACATTTTCTCCACTCTTCTCAAGCTTCCAGACGAAGCTCCGGAACAACCAACCTATCACAAGAGAAGTCCCAAGAAATGCACACCAAAATGTAAGCTATATTCGTGGATCTGAGTAAAGCATTCGTCACACTGAATACTGATGACTCTGAAAATTATTCAGAAATTAGGTCGGCCGAGAAAATTCACGTACATGTTTCGTCAGCTTCCCAGCGGAATGATGGCGAGCATCAGGGATGAGAAGACTATCTCAGAACCATTCCTAATAATCAATGCAGTCAAACAGGACTGTGTACTCACTGCCACACTATTCAGTCTCCTGTTCTCTGCCATACTGATGGATGCCTACTGTGATGTGCTCCCTGTGATCATTATTGTCTACCGGACCGATGACCAGCTTCTCTATACCCGAAACGAGCAGACCCAACTGAATGACTGGGCGCCCAACACCGCGACAGAACCGGGTGTGCGATGCAACGTGAATCGCTTTGTCGCCGACTGTGCACACTTCGGACTGACCAACATGGACAAAACGGTGGTTAAAACATCAGCTGCCACGCGACTCTGAACACAACTCCACGTGCGTCACTGCAAACTGCACTACAAACTATACTCAACTTCACCTATTTAGACAGTGCACTCGTGTGCAACACAAGAAATCGAGGATGAATTTGCGCACCGGATCTCCGAATTCCGTTATGCTTTCAGTCGGCATCAGAACTCATTGTGGTATTGTTATAACACGTCTGAACCCCAAGCAGAAGATGTGCGAACTATCATTTTGCCAACATTGCAATTTCGAATGGAAGCGTGGAGAGTCTGAGTTAACCAAGCGAGGAGACTCAGGTCACCTCGTGAGCAGGAATGAAAGGCGCCGACCAAAGTGAGCCTTCTACGGAGATGTTGCTACGGTGCCTGCCGACAAGGAGGAAAAGAAGAGGCGCTACAAGAACACTCTGGAAGCGTCTGTAAACCAACTGTAAGCCGAAGCAGAGACCTGGAAGTATCTGGCCCAGGATGGATCAGCCTGGAGAAGAGCAGTGAAGACTTAAGCAGCAATCGAAGATGTTAACCGAATCGACGCTGTCAGAGCCAAAAGAGTGGCTCACACCTCTCAAGCACCTCCAACCCACAACGCCAACATCTGAAAGTTTGTAACTCGTCCAGGCTGGCAATGAACCTCCTAGCGCGTGAATCGACCTCATTGGACATCTCCGGACCCGGTGCAAGCACATCCACTCAACTCCACCCGTTGCCTCCGCGAACGCCTCCACATGCATCCTTGTAATAACCCCTAACGCATCCGCGACGGCGACCACCCCTACCACTGGTGATCATACTCCTAACTTCATGTCATGTCCCGATCACACCCTCCATCTTCCAGCCACAACCACGGCGACGACGATTACCACCTCTTCTGCTCCAGCCATCGACGAGAATACTCCCAACGTACGTCAACCCCTACCATCTCCACTCCCCCATCAATGCAACCTCGAACCCATCATGACCTCGTTGTGATCGCACCTTCACATCCGACATCGGCCTTCTCGGTCAATTACGAATCCATCGCACAGAGACTGACGAACCGGTGCTCGGATCATCGAAATACACCTGTTGTCATTGCCTCAACTCTCCGCATTAAGCCCGAACCTTCCACCATCACATAGGCCTTCTCCGCCACATAAGCCTTAATGAAACAAACGAGGTAAGCCATCGAAGACTAAACGGCATCATCACACAAATCCCCATAAATGCATTCATCACACATTAACATGACGGAGATCACACACAGCAGGCATGAACAAGGCACCCCTAGCGTACAAAGGGAAGTGTTTTCTTTGGCTGCTTCTTGTGATCCCTCTGCTGACTGTGAGATCTGGGCAGTCCGCTCCCTTTGCGTGAAATCGTGTCATGCTCTGTTGGGGATCAGGTCGTGTATGTGACTCGTGCAAACGAGCTATCTAGCTCTCTCTCATTTACTGCGTGCAATCCCCACATAAGATTACTGACCGGTTTCGAGAGATGAATGGTGGCTGGATGAGGGGCGAGGGAGTGATGTGGACTCTCAGCCTAGATTCCTCACTACAAACATTCTGACGCGTACTGAGACGTATCATAGTGTGGTAAATGCCATGACTTGGGATTCTGCCAGCTGACGGGATAACTTGTCGCTGCTCCTCGGAATGGAGAGTCGAACTGGAATTTCTTCTTCTTACTTTGAATTTCTTTGAGCTTGCCCTCATTTGACATCCACTTGGGAAGGGTGATCAACAGAGAAACCGAAGACACTTCCAAACGCGAATGGCCGAACACGTTGCAGCGGTGCGGAGAAATGACGCTAGCTCTCAAGTTATGGCTCATTCGACGAGATCCGGCCACACATTTAAATTCGACGAGGCCGAAATTCTCGCAAGATGGGACAACCGTGTGAGTCGGGAGCTACTTGAATCATGGTTTACTGGCCCCCAGTCCATTAACAAGTGCAATGATCTTCCCACTCAATACTCCGTGCTGAGACTTCGTCTAGGCGGAGGAATTGGCCACGCGGGGAGCGCACGGGTGAACAATCTCTCCAACACCCGGGTCAGCGCGTCAGATGTTCGAGCAATCATCACACCAACATCCAACGCGCGTGATGAAATTGTAGCAATTAACGACGCGAATGTCGGCCATCACGCCACGTGTAACGATCCCTGATGAAGGAGGGGGGAGTCGTGAATATTCCTAGGTATGCGGTAGCATGGTTACTGCATCCTATAAATACTGCAGCCGCATATGCATGAACCACCCTTATCTGCTTTTTTCTCTGATGATGGATTCGAGCAGGAATCCGAACGTCAGGCTAATAAAGCTCTTGTCTCGGCGATCGTGTCTTCTTCAAGAGGCAAGGAATCTTTATTGACTGTCCTTGGCATTGGTTTAGATTCCGAAAAGACGTTTTAGTGCAAGAAAAGACTATACTTTTTAACCTTGTTTTTTGTTTCAACTTATGGTTTGAGTTACGATGACTCGAGTATCTGTTTATGAACCTGCAACGGATTCCACCCCAACAACCAGGGGAGTGACTACCTGTAAGCAAAAAGATGTTCATCCCGACCTTTGACATCTCAGCGTGAAACAAAGAATACTGTCGCATGTCAGACACCGACCTCATTTTTTAAGTTGTGCGCTTGGAGCTGACATGTTAGCATGCATATGCAGGCTGCTCACAGTAGAGGTTGTCACTTTGAGAACTGACAAAATCTGCTTGAAGCACGCTTAATTCCAATAAAGCAACTAAATTTCAATGGAAGCCGCCAACAACGATGGCTTAGTCTCAGAAGACTTTGGGTTTACTACGTTTAATTTTCAACCTTTATGAACATTTTTCCTTTCAATAAATGTACCTTAAGTGATAGGTTTCGGTCGTTTAAAAGAAATACAATTTCTTGGCTGTCCTGCAGTCAGCAAGTATACTAATCCTGTTTGGCTGAATATACCGAATCATATACATCCGGGAGTAGATTCAAGGCCGAAAGGAAGCATATTCAGCACAAGTTCTGTAAACTGAGTCATGACTGGCGTTTACAACTTTTGTGACCGAGCCAATTTCTGTCTATTCCCCTCTGTTTTCGTTTACATGATGAATTTTGACTGACGATTCGTCAGCTTGCACCAATTCGACACAGAAAACACCAAGATAAACATTATGTCTGATAGTTAGTTTTCTGTAAATTAACAAACACTTCAGTCCAGAAACGTAACCTTATAGAACAGACAAGTGTACATCCCCGCCTAAGGCGACACCGGTGGTCAGCCATAAACCAACCATAGGCCTGGGTGACTGGAATGTGAACTTGGGTCAGTTGTTCTGTGGACATTTGGGCCAGATGCTTTACTGCTTGTGTCGCGTGACTCACGTCCCATTCATCGAAGATAGGGATAGACAGAGACGAATCTGAGTGTTACTTAACAATCTACCCTGTTTTACAGTTTATAGCCAGACAGTTTTTGAATTTTAGAAATCTGTAACGGTAAACATCGTTATCATTATGCTTTTCTAAAAAAAACTTGACATGCGTCCCGCCTAACTCTTCGCCTGCATTTTTTTGCCGACTAGCGTGACTGATATTTCGTCTTCGTCGGTGGATTCCAAACGCCTCGAGTCAAAGTGCATGCACCTTTTATTCGCAACCAGTAACCAAGCCTTGCTGCCAATTGTAAATAACGTTTGCTCACTCGATTATTTTCTCGCCTTTTTGCGTATTCAGTTCGCATCGGCCAAAACAGCAGGATACTTGGAGAGCAATTCCACTTTTTCATTGGAATCAAATAAAATGTGTTTTCCACATGACCATTAATAGTCGATGTAATAACTGTTTGGCAGTCCCTTACATGTGCTTTGCGTTCAATAAAAAATCCTTTGTCTTACAGGAAACACCGTTACTAAACATGTGCATACGCCATTTCGAAAACATCTAAGAAGTGCTTAGAATGTAACGAGCTACGAATTGAAATTTGGTATTTAACCCTTGAATTCTACGGTATCTTTATTGGGAATATCTGCTCTTCACTGGTGCTCAGTGCTAACATTTAGTCCCGAGTACCACAGAAATAGCTGGTAACTTTATGCTTTCTTATGATGGTGATTTCCATCTACAACGTTTTTGTGCGTTTCATGAGATGTCGATTATTTGGTCATAGGAGTTTATGGTCGGTTGCCGGTATCACAGATGTTCTTGACTGATTAACGTCCAACGGCTTAAAAAGCTTCTAGACGAAAATGTCCGAAAAGTTCATCAAATAACCGCTGTGGCGTCAACGTTTAAACTGGCAAGGCTAAATATTTTGTGATTATGGTGCTCTGCACCTGATGGTGATCATTCTAAAACGTAAAATTTCGGATACTAGCCAACTACGTCTCTTCCCACTTAAAAGTTTTGTTGAAAGCATAGATTGATCACCATTTCCTAGAACTGGTCTTTTCAGACCAATTCAACTCTCAACCTAACCTTTCTAGAATTTAACACTGGGCCACTGTACGCGAAATACTAATGCCTGCCTCCTCACAAATAATATGCAAAATATTAAAGTGGGTTCGCGTTCAAAAAGTGACAAGTCCATAAACTGGAGATGTAATTGCAAATAATGAAGAATCGCCCGAATGCCGTATGTATTCATAGGCTGTTCGTACGATTCTCGCAATTCTTGGGCTCGCTGGGTAATTTAAATCATGTGCCGGGTGTTTCAAGATGAGCCGTCTTATCTGAGCGAAGGTACTGGAAGGTTTTGAAGGAAAGTCCATTTTGCGAAATGTAAACGGGCCCGAAAGCTCCCAGCAATATGAAGACCTCTGTTCTTCTAAGAGCTGTAATACAGCTATTCAGTTTTTTCGCTGTTATGGGAGGTTTTCTCATAATTGAGTCTTTATGTCGCAAAAAACATTTATTAACATTGATGCAACAATATCACACTTCCAATATTTTGTACAATTATGTTTTCTCCATTATTATTGGTTTTGAACACACCGGCGATGCGCGATACAGGCAAATCAAGTAGACCATTTTACATTCGATCGTCATCTCATCAGCGCAACTGGTCTTCCTATGAAAAGAAATCGCGATTAATTTTAAAAATTAGATACCATCCGTGAACTGAGTTATTGCTGTAGTTTAGTTTTGGAAGTTCGAATCGTCTCTGTGTAAATTTGAGGAAAAATAGAATAATCAATGGTCTAGTAGAAATTGTCGCAGATTATTTTATGCATGCTTCACCTAAGGCGGTACACGAAACTGTGCGCCGCGAAACAGTAGTGTATAACTAGGCTTATTCATACTTCCTCTAATTTATGAGCGTTTACCGCTGGACTTGTACGTGAATGCCTACCACTATATGGTCAGTTAGTGTAGGCGCGGTTACTGTCATTTAGACCGATGATTGTCAAAAGTCTTAGGATAGCAATAGGGTTAGAAAAGGCGGTCTAGATTTTGGAGCCTTAATTGATGTCCAAAAACGGGTTCTGTCGAGTGTGTTGCGTTACATAGACGTAGATCCAACACCCTGGAATGCGTTCACTGTAGTGTCCAGAACTAAGTTTCGAACACAAACTTGCGGGTATTAATCCAATAGGGGTAAATTTTGCGCAGCCGAAGTCCTGGCAATATGCCGAAAAGCGGTAGGAACCGAAATTCAAAACAATTGACTTAAGATACTGAATAGATATTTAAAGTGATGAGGATATCTTGCCAACATGCGGCGATAATGTCTAAAAAGCAACATAACTCATTTCTCTACCGACAATTTTATCATCATTTGCCTTCGGATACTAGTTCGCAATTTCTTTGGACTAAAGGATGGAAACATTTAAAAAGTGTTTTCTTTCCATTTAATATTTTCAGGACCGAGAAACGACAAAAATAACTCCTAACGTCGGTGTCGAAATGTTTTTCTTCACTATATTGGCACAACTAGAAAGTATTAAACCGAACAATTAAGACTTCACTAGAAAACGTTAAAATTCAACTAATCACGGTTTTATATTAAAAAAGCGACCACGTTACTGATTTTCAAAAATCGTAAATGCACTGAAGGCCGTAGTGTTTTAAACATCCGTGTTCAACCAATCAACCTCTCATGCGAAGTTCGCAAGAGGATGTATTAGTAGCGGACTTTCGGAGACATGTTCGGAACGTAAAAGTTGCCGCCACGCCTCCCCAAAAAATTAATTTACCGGAAGTGCTGACCGTTGATGGCTTCCATATTTAAGAAAGGCATGTGTGGGGTGGCTGTGGCAGTGGTGGTGGTGGTGGTGATGGTTGCGGCCGCTTGTTAGTGCCAGTCATTTGCTGCATCCGCACATACTGTCCATCATGCATCAGCCCGACCCCTTTTGTGGCCAGAACTTGGGGGTGCGTGTGCGTTGGAGAGCGTTGTTGTGATTGTTAACTCTGCAAACATCACTTGGGCGGCAGCCTCAGAAACCTGGTTGAGAACGCACTCTGGTTGCTCTAAAAATTATCAGAATTTTCCCGCCTTTTCCGTCATCAGAAATGGGCAGTGGACTCATTACATCTGTTACATCTTCAAATGTAGAACGAAAGTTTACCAGAAGCCCTTGATGAGACAAAGGTGACCGACAATTAAGTAGAAGAGGTTCACCTCGGCAATTACTAGAGTAGGAATGCTCGCGATCTACCTCACTTGCCTCTCTCTCAGCACCTCCATTCACCAGATTTCATAAGCTCAAAAATCTCATTGTAACCAAGACTCGGTTACAATGAATTAAATGTCACAACTCGCACCTAGCAGTCTTCAACAAGGGGTTTCTCCTCTCAGTTAAGCAAGAGTGCCAAGAAGGTACTAATCAGAAGGAGCAGTTGGAGCCAGTCTTACCCCATCAGCTGACAGTCTTTGAAGTCAGACCTTTCGGCCCGTCGAGATAGGTTGCAAGTGTATCTGTATACAGACGGAAAATCAAGTGCTTGATCCGAGCTCGGTCGACATCCCTCTCTTCAAAGTCACAGCGGTCGGTCTGAATCAATTCAACTAGGCGTTAACCCAGGTCAATGACTGTCGTGAGGCAAAGCAGCCGTCTAGCGTGCCCCCGCACAAGGACTCGTATCTCACAGAAGTAATAGGCACCATAGCGGTTAGACTATCGCTGAGCCATTTCAGTCTGGCGCTTTTTCAAAATAAACAGCGACCTCGCTTGTTAGCTGATAAAATTGCAGGCCTCCGGAGCGGGTTGTACATCTCATGCGGCCGATCCAAACGGAGACCTCATTCTCTCTTGAAATGTATTCTAACTGACTGCGCTGATGCCGACAGAGTTCCTGCGTTTTTCGTGGCTTGTGTTTGACGCGAGTCAGGCATAGGGTAAACCTCACTAGTAGTGAAGACAGGCTAGAATTGGCAACTAATACGCGACACAAGGATTTTAAAGCAATACATTTACCGAGAGCAGAATGTTAAAGGCCTGAAGCGATCACGACACGCATGCAACTAAATGCATCTTTAGAACCTATAGCAACGTTAATTCCGAAACAAGGTTTTTTGGAAAAAGGAATTCTTGACTGAAAGGGTAATTTTCAACTCGTTATCAACAAGCTGCCACATGGCGGAATGAAATTAGCGGAGTTAGGATCATCAGACTAAACTCTAGATAAACAAATAGTAGCCGTGACAATCCTTTTAGTATCCAGGCAGCTCATGTGACGGTCGTTTTAAATGATTTGCACAAAAATGCAAGACATGACGTCACACTGGGGGATAGTCAGCGCATGTTCGTCAATACCAGTATCCAGACTTCAACCTGTATGACTGGCATGCATACGAGGCAAATTAATGCATAGAGGGAGAACGCAGTAACAGGTGAGTCCCGTGGTAGAGGTGACGATGCGCTAAATTCCACCTGGGAGTTAGGCTTAGAGTCAGGGTTAGATTTAAGGCTAAACGCAGGGTTGGAGGTGGGACTGGGGTTGGAGTAAGGAATAGGCTTTGAACACCTAAATACGGCCCAAGGCCACTTGTAGTATGAGGGGCATCTAGTCCCGTGTCCAACCACATGAATCTGCTGTTCATTAAGTACTGCGTCCTCTACACAAGAGAACTTGGCTTTTAAGCATTGCAGATACCAGAGAGTGCAACGTTATAACCTAGAGATTTGACAATCTTAATCTCACGTCTGAGCATTTGCTGGTTAAAAGTCGAATGATGTCGGGGAGACCATTTTCAGACACGTTGATATGTACGTGTTAAAAAGGATAAAGAATTTTCAATGGAACTCGCAAAACTTAGACTGCTCAAATCTGGAAATCCGCCCGAACTCTTACCATATGACTGAGAATCTTATAAACTATGTCGTGCAAGTTAGGTGAAATAGCTTTTCATCCAGATCATCAAGAATTTGGCAAAAATCAGAGCTGAAGGAGTTATCACACTCAGCTAGTGGTTCTCTGTGAATTCTACTGACTCCGGCACGGATCGTTTTAGGGCCTTTGGAGGGTACACAAGGCAAACGTATCGCCGAAGCCCATCGTCTGCCAGATGACGGTCCTATGTGTAGTCTGGCAAAACGGATGTTTGGACACCTTAACTTTTTAGCCGAATGCGTGATAAAAACGGTAGCTTCTGCCAATCAGTTTCCTTGAGCGCATAAGGCACTTGAAGTTGAAACCCGATGAATCCATGACATCCTTTGATTTTGCTTCTCTCTTCACTTTGATTCCACAACAACCAGCTATGGATGGTGTGAAACCATTGTTAGCTATATGCTGTAACAAAAGAGAAAAGCCCTTGAAATCTGCGCATATGCCCAAGCTTCTGCGGCACTGTCTCAAAGCCCACTTCACCATCGTTGGGCATGTGTACTAACAAATTCAGGGTACTACTATGGAGTATCTCCTACAGGACGTGATTGCTGCATTGGCTGCTCAACAAATGGCACATTTGGTGTTCACCAAGAACCAGACGAAGTTCTTAGCTCGTTTTATCAACGGAACCGTTGTTTTCGAAATAACACGCGTTGAGCTCTCTGAGGAGTTAATTAAACTGATTGACTCGAATATCCAATTCACGATGAAAGGCGAAACAGACAGCCAACTCCCCTTCTTCAACGCCCTTGTGCACCTATGTGCAGCTGGCAACTGTAAACAACAGTATTTAGCAAACTCACTGCACAAGGCAAATATTACACTTCAACAGCGATCACCGTGTCTCACAAATACAGCTGTGTCCGAAGTCTATTTCAAAGAGCTTGAACGCATTGTGGTACGCCAGCTGGCGAAAGGGTTGAACGACTATACCTCTGAAACCTCTTCAAAACCAACAGATACCCAAACCCTTTTACCAAGGAATCAGGCGTCTGGCGAACAGAGGACGACCCAAGATGCAGCAGCCCAAAGTCTGGAGGCGTAGAGTCTCTGAAGCGGCTTCTTGACTGTTACAGTCCGCCAAAGTAGACATAGTCCATCGACCCCAAACGATAGTTTGTCGTTGTTTTGCGCAACCTAAGGAGGAGTTACCACTCACCGAAGCCTCCGTGGGGACTGTAATAACGCTAGGTAAATCGGACGGAAAGTGCAGAGTCGCTTACACAAGCACAAATAGGCAATTCGGGGGTTAAACTGGAACGCTTAAGAGTTTGTTTGCACATGGCAGAAACTGATCATATTCTTAGATTTCCGACCACCTTAGGTCTGGAAGTTCAGGAACAGAACGAAGAGCATTGGAAACATACTATTCAGACACCAACTATGTCAGCAACTATCTTGACCTTCAGCATCGTTAAAGGCCCTGTGCCATTACGTACGCAAACGCCAGGGCAATACGACCGCACAGGGCTTACGAAAACTACCCGAACTCGGCCCGACGGGGGAAAAAGGCCCACCAGACCGAAAAACTCTCGTAGAGGCTTAACTACTACTCACTGGGGCGAGGACTCATAGCGCACACGGTTGTCGAGTCCGTCAAACCTTCCTCTTCTACGGATACCGAAATGAACTCCCTGCTGATCGCTTCGAATGATTCTTAAATAGAGATCTGGGGTAGAATGCCTGTGGCAGTTTTCATATTAGGCTTGGGGTCTTTCGGTTGCTACTGACGTCTGAGACAGTTTCTACACGCTGGTAGGGTATTCATTGGACCATATTTATTGAAATCAGTCATCTGCTCGTCAAACAGGCCGTCATTTCAGTGGTAGCGAAAGGCCTTAAGAGAAAGGACTCGGGAACAAGTTCTTATATGGGATGCGCGATAGTCGCCTTAGCAACCGAGGTTGACCTTGGCACTGAGGCCTTTTCTGTAGGAGTTTGCTACGAGGTTTTCATCATTCACTTTTGTATGCTCACAGCTAGGAAGGGAGGATTGTATTCGATTGTTTTTATCGCAGGTGCAAAACGCTTCAATTTCTGATGCTGTCTTGCAATTTTTAGGCTTTTGTGATAGCAAAGATGCCATCCACAAAATGAAACCGCATTTTTTTAACGAGGTGCAGAGTGCATCATATTTTAACTGTGCCGTAACTAGTTCAGCGCGATTAATGTCGCTATCCGTGAGCGGGTTGGGGTTCCTAACCAGCATTTCAGAGGCAGTCAGGCGTTGTAGGTGTCGAAACAACCATTTATAGGGACTTCGGACTGATAATCCAATGAGTAGCATAATAATTTTCTGTGCCGCGTCCGCATTGTTCACTACTGTAACACCGTTGACTTCTACGACAACGGAATTATTGAAGGTCATTAACTCATATTCAACATGGCTGGTGTGTTTAATTCAAATAAACTCCTTTACAGTTTTTCTTGGATTCGAAGTTCGCTTGATGTTAGATCTTCAACATACGGGGAATAAAGTTCACTGTCATAGAAGATTAATTCGCTTGGGTAGCATAACCAATTTCCCAATGATGCCATTTGCGTCAGCTCTATCCGTGGGTTCAATAAACCCGCTGTAATTAGGCGTCTCAATTGTGACCCTTGACCATATTCGAGTGCTGTGGTCTGTTGACTTCCTTTTTGTTGAAGAAGGTCGGCGCTACATATGTTTGTGAAGAGAAGAGGTCGTTAGAATGCAGGTGCGGCATAGCTACGAAAGGTTACCAATTCTCATGAAGGCGATTCTTTTATCAATGGTCGCATAACTGCTCGTCTAGACTGACTCGCTATCTCACCCCTGTATTTTTGGTAGTTGCGTTTATCCTCTGCGGCAAGTCTTTCGATATATTTGTTGATGGTGATAAACTTCGGTGGCTTATTGGAGCGAAAGAAACTACTGCCTGTATGTGTGAACGATTATGAACGTCAGATACGATGGAAATCAGGACGCACCCTCCATAGTTCGCTGCAAGTAATCTTCCAGCCATATAGGCAGAGAGAGGGAGTGGCTAATTCTGGGCCCGACAGTGCATCGTCCGAAGTTAAGAACACACTCTTAAAGCAATCAACGAAAAAGAATGTCAGTGCACGGCTTGCAATTGATGAATTGTCAATATCTCGTGGATTGCAAGTCTACTGATCAAAGGGTTGACCAGATCTACCTACGGAACGAGGATTAAGCTGCAACGTGGTCTGCATAACACAGCTTTCGTATGCGGGTTCCGAGGGGTTTCATGTAGCTTCATTCGAATTTCGATACCAGTGCATGTGTGATAGGCGTAGATCCAGGATTCTCAGCCACTTTATACATCCGACTTCTTCGAGCTACTGTAACAGAGGGGATGCAGGAAGAGGGCGTAAGCTATGCGCTGAGCAAATCCAACTGACCATGACTGATCCATGTGCAAGTGTAGACAACGGTGGTCGCCTACCGCAAAGTATATCGAACCACCATACATAGTATTCGCTCAGCAAATGCCGCGTGCTTTTCGACTTCTGTTATATTTGTGTACTTTGAACTTGGTCTAAATTTATCTTTGATGTACATATATATGTAAAGAAGAATACTTTCGCTAGCCTTCAGCAAAGTATCTACAATGAAGGGACAGTAGAAAAGACAGGGGTCATGTTGGTTTATGGTATCTTTCTGTAACGTAGCAGCCAATGACGTTGATCCCCACCGAGTCAGCGAAGCACTGCGAATAAATTCTTGCTAACATCAAGCCGAAGAGAGTTCTTAAACGCATCACCATACTCATCCATGCGAAAGGGTAGAAGAAGACTAAGTTGGACACATATGTGTAATAGAGACAGAGAGAAATTAAATACGTATATGCATACATAAATACATGTGGTATAGGGACGCTCATCGATCGCTCGTACGGAAACCACTCGCTACGTTGTGCCTTACGGGCTCTCTCTCTCTCTATCGAGCCCAACCAGCAGCCGCGCAGCGGCGCATGAGTTCGAGCTTCAGGTGTTCCACACCGGAGTTGGGTATGACTGGCTGACAAAGGCTAATAACCCAGAAATGGCCAATCCAGTCTCCTTTATCTTTGTCGGTAATAACATCCTGCATATATACATGCATATATAGTACTTGTTGAAAACGGGCATCCTAACAAATTGGATAAGGAAGATGTAATTCTTTGAGAAACCACAACTTTGTTGTGTAAATAATTGAAGCTGGTCCCTCTGCTGGTCGTCCGTCTATGGTAACAGTTACTTGTACAAATGGAATGACTTACGGCGAGGGCGGGATACAGAGATGACACTGGCATGCCTTCCAAACAACCGGTGGGAAACTCAGCGCTTTGGGAAACTGCAGGGCAGGACTTTTGGAGGTTCCCGCATAAAGTGAGAGGAAAGTTGAGGAATGGGGGTCGGCAGTAGGGCAAGGAAAGGGCACCAATTTTTTTACGCGACACACAATTACGCTCACCATCCCAGATCCGCGAGGGAAGTGTCCGCGTCATTTAAACAACCTCATACAGTTCTTGAGGCATTACGGTAAGGTTGTCCTGATCTCAGGTGAGACCATAATAAGAGCCATACAGGTGCCTGGAGGCAGGCCTTAGACGCAGGTCTTCACGCCGTGTCAGTCACTGTGCCCACTCAGCACGAGCTGGTTAAATGGATCGGACACTCGACTGGTGTCCGGGACAGGGAAGTGGGACTGAGGTCAATGCCGGTGATTCCGTCATCAAAGGACATCAGCATATTCCACACAACAATAAGTCCGGCATCACTAGCTCGTCGTCAGACGAATTAAAGGGGGGAAGATGAAATTAGAACATTGAACTATTTTGGGTGGCGAGGTTTACACTAACAATGCACTTGTGGGGTGAGTATTGCACGCAGATACTCGTTGTTTTTCCAGGTCAGTGGCATTTCTAATGCTATGTGGGTTGAAATTAGAAGGCCTGAGAAGCCCTCGCATCTGCTTTTCGCTAGTTGCGGAAACCACTTCAGCAGTGTCCTTATTGGAGGGGTGATCGTATTCAAGGACGTGCACAGGGACGACCTTGTGTCACCTACTTCCATGGTCAGCGAGAACGCAAGAATTATTAGCGCACTGATGATGTAAATGACGTTAGTTGGTTGCTATTTGTGGATGGGACCCTTCACCCAGGACAGCTTAGCGCGCGAGGGAGATAATGGCTTAAATTCGATTTGGATACAAACACGATCCACCTGCCTGGCGGTTGCTTCAAAGGTCCCAGACACACAATGAGGGCAGCAGAATTTCTGCGGCTCCATTACTCAATTAGGAAGGGGGTCTTGTAACTAGGTCAGACGCCTAAGGTAGTTTTCCGCAAAGCTAGTTGAACATCGTTCGATCGAAACAGCCGATACAGGTAAATTAGCAATTATTTAGGCAGATGATCACGGCCGCAATAACAAAAGCCCCAGTGGAAGTGCGTCCGGCAACAGCTTTTTGGAAAACCGAGAAATGGTGTTTTTCGTAATTTAGGATGATTTTCGCACAAGATCGTACTGCTTATTGTGAAATCGTCATTCCCGGCCTTGTATACTTGCATGGGAGACGGTTGAGGAAGTTATCAAGTTTGTAGATCGTACATCGTGGTAGCTGTGGCCTGCTTTTTTGCTGGGACTCCAGTGCGCTGAGTGTCGTCTTCCCAGTCGCGGTTCGTTTATTTAACGCATTCCATCTTGTCAATAATTACGACTGGGCTACCTTTACCTGCTTATGCAACAACTGCCCTGTGATTAGAATTTAGAGATCATAAATCTTATTTTATTAAAGAGAGAAGAATATCTAAGAAAGTTATTAACCCTTTGAAAAAGTCTTACACCTGACAAAATTGGCGGATATTCTCGTTCGGAGCTGTCTCCAGGTTTCTTCGACGTAGTTGCTTTCTCCGCAACTGCATCAGATCCGATAAACGACCCCAGACGTTTCTAGTCGCCTAACTACAATACCTTCGGTGGGTATTAAAAGTTCATGGCTACCCGCGCAACTTCGTCAACCGGTGCATACGCAAAAGGGACGAAGGGCCTAACTGCACGAACAACAAATCTTGA